AAGATATTAGTTGACAGAGCTCTAATGCGGCACATCTCTTTTTTGTTCGATGAATTTCGTTTGACGCTCGATCGATTCACGTGTTGTGCTCATGTCACAGCCTGCCTGTTTGCTCTTCAACAAATAAACTCCTAAAGACATGGCTAGGAAAAGCCAAGTATTTTTGCATACATTATAACTCGAAAACGAAGCAAAAACCAGCAACAAAAATACAGGGCCGCGTTTTTCTAGTACATTGAAGACCACATGCAAAAATTCAAGCCCTTTCGCGAAAATTTTTTTCACCCAAATCGTCACTTAGCATGGTTTTGCACTCACCCCTTCAATTAAAAGAGTGTATCAAAATTTCTGCCACGTCATTACAAAACACTTTGTAGAATTCGCAGGGGAGACACTCCTTATGGGACACTATGGAAAAGCTGAAACTTAAGACCTCAAACCAGATGGAGAAAACTTAAGTTAGTGTTACTGTAGGGGACAAAGTCATCAAACTGAAGAACAGGGGTTACAAGGAAGTAGGCCAGAGCTTGTGCCAAGACTCGAGGAAACCATCGGTGAGTATGAGATGGCAGTGGTGCCACATTCCTTATGTAGGGTCGATGGATCTCTTTATATTCCAACTGACAAAGCCAGCCTGACGTGTTTGATAGAGGAGGCAAACCCACAGCCACAACTAGAAACACCACCAGCAACAGGAAATCTACATCGAATACTTGTTATTGATGCTATGGCCATCGTTCAAGGTAACTATAACAACAACAACAATTATAATAATATTTTGTATAAATTTTGTATTTATGATTTGTATACAGGTCTGAAATAAGCAAGCGCTATCCTAAAGATTTCTGACCTTCAAGAATCATTAATTGCTGCAGAGTGAGCACAGCGAGCGAGCAGCAACATAATCAAAATTTAAGAAGAATATATAGAAGGGGGTACGATTTCTCGGAATCAATACTTTTTACCAGAGTGCATTGTTGTTAGTGGTTATGTTTTGCTCTGATTTGCCTGTAAAACGATGTGAAGGAGATTGTGCTTGACTTTCACTGTCTTGCTTTTGTTCCTAATGCAGTATGTGAAAGTTTGTAAATCTGGATGATTAATTGTGACATCTGTGATTTTAAACTTAGTATGAAACTTCTTAGCAGTCTCACCTCCTTGGTCGAATTCTAAAATGAAGAGAAATCGTCATTAGGAAAGCTTGTAGAATAATTAGAACAGGTGAAAACGGTAGAACACGCTAATTTCATATATGCTGCGATCTATTCCTTTTCATCCAAACATGAATTTAAGCTAAAGCTTTAGCATTTTCTCACATCGCGATGGACACATCCTTGACACAGTCTGTCAACAATCTAGAGACATTTAACGCGTGCCAATACAGAATTTACAAGTTAGATTTCTGCTCCGACAATTTCCACATCTTTCCATTTTCTCAATCTGGTAAAGGGGAGGTTGATGCACATCGTTTTATGTCCAAACATAGTTCAGATCACTATGTGCTTTTTTGTCACGATCCCTTGTCACATTTTGTCATGGATGCTTCATCGTGGATGAAGTTGATGCATACAAGGACAGATTTTAAGTCACATTTTCGTTCTTGTTTTTTTCTTGCAGACAATATGGAAATCTTTGTTTTGGTAACACCCCACGATTTGACACTACTTTAAGAAATAAAGGTTTTTGTAAGTCTTGGAATGTGCAGGTAGATGAATCACTGTGTAAAATATGTCACTATCAACAGGATGTGCTGCAGCATTACAGTCTTTTAGATACCCTAGTTTTATCAAGCGTACTGAGCAAATAGTGTCTGGATTTGATGAAGACCAAGCAGTGTTTGATCCCTACTTGGAAGGCTCCTTGAAGAACAAGATGTGGCAAAAAAGATCCACAGCATTTGTCGGGTTTCAAATACATCCAGAAATGAGGCTCACCATGTCCATCAAGGACCTTCTGTCATCGTCAAAGTCCAAAAGCATGCTGGTCACTTTGTTCACCACTGGATTATTAGTGCACTTCTCCAGCAACACAGCCATCAAGCTGGTCGGGGTTTACAATAACAAAATCAAATGTCTCAACTGTGAGGAAGAACACAACCAGGAGTTGTGTTCACTAGATGAGCATTTGTCGCAAGAGATTTCTGTTTCCTCGCCGGACACTGATGTAGTAGTCCTGCTGCTCGACTTGGTTTCCAAGGGAAGTCATGGAAACCTGAATAGTCTGAGGTTTTTGACAGGCAAGGGTGCAAACTACGGAGAGATTGATGTTATTCAATGAGTCCAAGTGACTGAAATGCACAAGTGTCAAGACCTGATTCGATTGCACCACTTCACTGGGGCCGACTGGTGAGGGAAGTTTGTTGGTATCACGAAGAAGATCTGGGTGAAAGCAGTACATGGCACTCAATGATGACCATCCCGTGATTGACTGCTTCAGAGAGCTTGGTGAGGATCTTATCCAAAACCAGTTAGCCAATGGAGAATTGCCCACTCAAGTTGAAGACCTAGAGAAATTTGTCTGCCAAGTGTACTGCAAAGCGGGACCTACACCCTTCCCCAACTTTGATGTGAGCTCTTTTGATCCAGGAACTTGGAAGGTGAGATGCTGCCTCCAGTGCATGCTTCCTTACTCTCATACATCACGCATGCAAACTTCATGGTAATGTGTGACAAATCCTATACCACCAGATGCCCAGATCTTCCTCCCATTAAAGAGAATGGCTGGAGCAAACACCAAGGAGCTTACAGCTGTACGTTCCCATTATGTGCCTGTCTCTCCCTACACCCCAAACTGTTATTGAGCTTACCAAATGCGGCTGCAAGTCAGACTGCAAGGGATGCTGTAGCTGTTTCAAGAACGTAATTCCATGCACTCCTCTTTGTAAATGCTTTGGAAAAAAACTGTACAAATCCATTCACAGATGACACACAAGTTGATGGCGAGGAAGAGGATGATGATGCTCTTAGTGCATAAGAACTTTAGTCACATTTTATGCCCAAACACTTTTAATGGAACTGTACATTAGTATTATACATAACAGAAAGAAGATGAATAGCGTCTGCAATGTTACCATGGGACTAACAAAAGTCAATGATATTTTTGTATGAGAAAACTGAAAAAGTACATGCATTTAAGAAAAAAAGGAAAGCAAAGAAAATTATGCACTTTACTGGACATTGCTAGTAATGGAAATTCACTGTTGCTTTAGAAAAATGAGAGTTCAAAAATCCAAGATGGCAGATCCAAGATGGCCACCACCAAAATAGCAGGTAGTTAATCCTGACGTCATTACTGGTTGCCATGGCAACAATTTGCAACACGACAGCCAGAAATCCGTAAAGATAGTTAACTACGTGAATGATCCGCAAAGATCAACTGCAAAGCGACAAAACGTAAACAGGCTATGAGGCAAGCTGCCAGCTATTGAGGTCACTCCGCAAGTCACATATGCAAATGAGGGTGACTACTGGCCGCCTTGGCTCATGATTAACTTTGCCTAAATTACATTTAGCCACATTTTGAAAATCCAAGATGGCTCCCACCAAAATAGCAGGTAGTTAATCCTAATGTCATCGCTGGTTGCCATGGTAACCAATTTAGGTCATACAGTGTACATTATCAAGAGTAAGAATCCGCAACGATTTGCAAAAAGTTAGCAACACACGACAGCCAGAAATCCGCAAAGATAGCTAACTACATGAATGATCAGCAAAGATCAGCGGCAAAGTGACAAAACGTTAACAGGCCACAAGGCGACTTGCAAGATGTTGGAGTCACCCAGCAGGTCACATACTCAAATGGCGATGACTGCTGGCCGCCTTGGGTCATGATTAACTTTACCTAAATTACTTTTAGCCACATTGCAAAATCCAAGATGGCAGATCCAAGATGGCCACCAAAATTGCAGGTAGTTAATCCTGACATCATTGCTGGTTGCCATGGTAACCAGGTCTAAGATGTACATCATCCAGAGCAAGCTTCCTATAAAGTTTGGTCCATGTATCTTTAATCAAAGAGCAAAGATATTTGCAAAACAATTTGCATATAATTAGCATAAATTAGCATAAATTATATCGTTAAGTAATGGGAAGATGGGGTCGGAAAATTTGAACCCCATCAGATTCTTATCATCAGGTCCAAAATTAGTGCAAAACAGCAAAAATGATTAATTTTGGCACAAAAGTCCTACAGGATCACCCACCCTCCTGCACTATATGTATGTTGTTAATTGCTGTGCTACACAGTTCAAAAGGTCATCAATTACATGTTAACATTTTCCTAGATGCACTTTATTCACAAGTGTTTACACATTATGAAACAGAGTAAAACTCATTTTGGTAAGATAAAGCTTCTATACAAGCCAAGTGGCCCATCAGGCTGGCACTTTTCCTGGCTTTCAGTAGGGTGAAGCACTGAGAGTACTTATACTCCCCCCTGGATGGGATGCTGGTCCATCGCAGGGTTACCCCCAGCATTAAGTTTGCCAGTACCCATTTATGCATCTTTGAGAGTAAAGTGTGTTGTCCAAGAACACGACACAATGTCCCCAGCCAGGGCTTGCACCCAGGCTGCTCAATCTGGAGGTGAGCACAGTAACTATGAGGCTACATGACCTTACAAAACTCGGTTTAATTTATGGTTATTGTGAAATTGTTTTTGGTGAACCAGAATCTTAACCTCCCCCCTGAAAAAAATGAAAACATGACAAAGCTGGTCTTTCCTTTCAATATGTTGTGAACATATTATGTCCACTCTACTGCAAATGTTTATTCACATGCCACCAAAGAAGGGTGCATTCCTTTGGAGTGATATGGATCAGGATCAGTGATCCATCGGTTCCTTTGATGAACTATGATCTGACTGATCTCGGATCACTGATCATGATCCCAAAGGAATGCACCCTAAATGATTACCTCTCATTCTTGTGGCATGGAAATAAGAAAAAATCCTGTTAGGCATACAATTAACATTAGTCATAATTTCATTTGCCTCTACAATTTACGAGGAGGCGTGTAGGGCTTGATTTAACCCTTAGTTTGCACTAAGACCAGCTTGTAAACTTATATTTCAGAATGATGCTGGAGAGCCATTGTTTATGTTATTTAAAGCAGTTAAACAACAATCTGAGAAAGGACCGGTAGATGCTGTAACAGGAGAGGCAAGATATTCATTAAGTGAAGACAAACTTCTCAGACAGGCTATTGACTTCAAGGTATAAAAATGCTCGAGTTTGTACATGTATTAACTATGATGCAGTAACATTTACAAAAGACCCGACAAAAGAAAACTAACTTCTTACATTGTTTAATTGCTTTCCCATTTCTCCTCCTTAGTACAGTTAATAGTGACTGCTTGATTTTAAGTGGGTTGGCCACTTAACATAGGTAACAACATATAATAGCCCTCATCAGGACTATGATTACTGGCTGCCTAATAGGGGTGGCATTTAATAGGTGGTCACTTAAAAGGGGTTTGACTGTATTTCAGATTTCAAATTGAAATGGCCCTGTGGCAGTGACTGCAGCATTCCTTTTGCATACTTTTCAGGTGGCTCTGAATCCTACCTACAGAATTTTTTTAAGCCTTGCAGAAAGTTGTATCTTAACATGTTCATCAGAATTCAATTAGAATCACTTTAAGTTAAAATTAGGGGTGTTTTTAACATGTTGTATTGTTGCCATGTTAACCTATGATGCCCAGAAGATGACGACAACTTGTTCACCAATGATTGGACATTTTTGTGATACCTATATCGTTAAATTGGATGATAAAGAGTTGTAACTTTGATCCTTCAAAGTAGAACTGTTGGAAACTGTTGCCATCCACCTTAACACTGTATTTTTGTACATCGTGTTATGCATAAGCACCTTTTTATAGTTTGGCCAGGTGTGTTTCTCCTGCCAATTTCCAATTCTGAAATCAGTGATCAGAGAAGTATGGTACTTTTTATGTGTGTCTTCAGTTGTATCAAATAATTATTGTAACATCACAACCACCAAATAAGAACATCAGCTAGTATATGATATCTTTTGTTTGATTTATTTGCTTTCAGCCACTGAATGTTGCTGTGAGCTATGATAGTAATCCCCCAGTGACTGTGGCATTGCTGGACTGTGACACCATCACTCAAGCCAAAGAGAAGATCCTGGATGTTTTGTTCAAGGTTTGAAATGCCTATTGCAGTGTCAAGGCTCAAACCATGAACACCTGGCATTTTTGGGGTGTTTGGTTTACTACTGCGCAGTGAGGACTCTTGACGTCAAAAGAAAAACTTAGCTAATGCTATTTTTTATGTGAAGAGGTCTTACTGAATGATCATCAAAAGATACACAAAATATCAAGTGTCCTAGCTGTAATTAGACTTCCTTTTCAAAAAAGCTATCATTATAAGAGTAGAATAGTGATATATATCTGAACCATGGCTTGGTTTTCTTCATGTTATTCACAGCGAATCAAATTATTTGGCAGCCGAGATCTTTATTGGAGTATAGACATGGAAATGTAGGTTACGTTCCTGAATTAGCAAGGATTTGTTATTAATTTTTAATACATAGCAATTTCCTTGGGAGAGTAGATACACACTGTTTCGCTGTTTAATTGTATTCCATCAAATAAAAAAGTGAAGAAGGTTTTTTATTATTGTTTGAGTATCTTGACATATCTTGTTGGTTTGAAGCATTGTCAGCTTTCGTGAAATAAATCCTTTAAAAGTAATGCATTAAGTGACAGTACTTTTTTCATACCAAGTATTGAAAACAATCTTGTTCCATTCTTTCATTAATTAAGTTCATTTCATTATAGAACTCTCCATATTCAAGTCGTCCAGAGAAAGATGATCTTCAGCTTGGTGAGGGATTTTTGTTTATGGGTTTCCTATGTTCATACGCATGCAAAACATTTTGTATATTTGCAACAACAAAATGCCATTATTTTTCATACCTCATGGTTAATAATTTGGTTTGACCTGAAACAAGCTGGCAAGCATTCAAAGTTTACTCTCAGTAAGTTATGAGGTATTTAAGATGATTTTTGCAGAACATTCAAGCAATAATGGCAAAAATAAAGTTGCCAAAAAATCCTCATGGCATGGTAATAATTTGAATACAGCTAAGAAGAACTTATCGAGACTTAAGCTTTCAAGCTGACCCCGCGAGAGAAAATTGAACTTGAAGTTAGCCATATTTCAATTAAAACAGACGTTTCGCATTAGTTAAAAACACAATAACACGCTTTAACCATTCTTACGAAGTTTGACATCAACTTTCTCAAGAATGCTTGAGAATTTAATTGCAGGGTCACTTAGAGAAATGAACTAAAATGAGTTGTTTTAAATAGCATTCCAAAAGTTACTGTGCAATGAGTGGACTCTTACTAAATATTTTGTGCACTTATTGCTCGAACTTTAAACGGAATCCGTCTTAACATTCTAAGATTTAACAAAAGAGTTTGGGAAGAGGTCATATCTAAAACATTGGTTTTCTAATATCACACAAAAGGTTTCTCTTGTAAACCAAGCTCTAATTTGTTAGCTTATTTTACAGCTGTAAGACTGCATCAAAAGCAAGTCTTCAGTAGTTCATTAGGTGTGAAATTTCAGACTCAGATTCTTTGGTTTTATTTTACTCATAAATCTACATATTTATGCAGAATGGGAGCAGAGTTCTGGAAGAGTTCTTTCTCTGCGAGATGATGATTCTCAATCACTGATTGATGGGGAATGGAGAAGGATAAATACGCTGAGTTATTATAAGGTGATGAAAGTTCCAACTTCTGTTCTTTTGTTTCATGTATCAGCTTGGCTACACAGACAGGTTGCAAAAGTGATGAGCTTCTGTCATTTATCGCATGAACCTAACTTCATGAATTTAAAGTCTGACCCTAATTTTAAAAAAAAATGGAACCAAAAGAAGGCTACAATGGACGACAAAAGTGTTGAGACACTTGGCAGTAAAATTCGATTTTCGAGAGTCTTGGACAGATTTCCCCCCCTTTCCAAAAACAATGTTGAATTTTCTATTTCTTAGACTGCAGAGACTACAGCGCCTACACAACATTGAATTGGGGGGCCGGGGGTATCAGGGAATTAACGCTGGATGCAAGTAGAATAGAACAAGTGCTTAAATATCGAAAAGCGTCATTTCCTAAAAGTGTCTCAGCTACCTTTGTCGCCCATTTTAGTTTAAGTGCTTCCTTCTTCAGTACAATTTAGCGATAACAGCGATGACAAGGGCATGTACAGTAATTGAACTTTTTTTTCCATCTGTTTTGTTTTTCACCCCCTGAAAGGATTTTTCATACTGCCGGTTTTCATGTGACATTGTCATATTCTAAAATAAAAAATTACCTATCCTTTTGTGGCTTAAGTTTAGATATAACACCCTCTAAAAATTTTGTTTACCAAGATGTAGCTCAACAGGGTTTTTCATTTTGTAGTAGAGCATGTTTTTAAACTTTTACATTGCATATCATTAACACCACCTTTTAAGTTTTTGCTATCGGAACAGTCATTAGTATTAATTTCTACTTAACGGACTTCTAGAGCAATGACTTTTTCTTTAAGAGCAAAACTCAGTGACAGATGTTTCTGTTACTTTCTGGCCACCATATTGGTGCCCCTCTGATGGAAACCAATACATACAAAGCTCCGGCAAAGAATTTAGATAAAACATTTCCCTGAGTAATGTGCTCAGGCTTGGGTGAGTTGGAGTGAACCCTTGCGTTCAGCCCAGGCTTGGGTGAGTTGGTGTGACCTTCACATACAGCTCAGGCTTGGTTGAGTTAGAGTGAACCTTCATGTACAACTCAGGCTTGGGTGAATTGTAGTGTCCCCTCATGTAGAGCCCAGTCTTGGGCAAGTAGGAGTGCACCCTCATGTACAGCTCAGGCTTGGGTGAGTTGGAGTGTGCTCTCATGTACAGCTCAGGGTTGGGCGAGTTGGAGTGCGCCCTCATGTACAGCTCAGGCCTGGGCGAGTTGGAGTGCGCCCTCATGTACAGCTCAGGCTTGGGCGAGTTGGAATGCGCTCTTATGTACAGCTCAGGCCTGGGCGAGTTGGAGTGCGCCCTCATGTACAGCTCAGGCTCGGGCAAGTTGGAGTGCGCCCTCATGTACAGCTCAGGCCTAGGCGAGTTGGAGTGCGCCCTCATGTACAGCTCACGCCTGGGCGAGTTGGAGTTCGCCCTCATGTACAGCTCATGTTTAGCTGAGGTTACTCACAGACTCATGTTTGTTTTAAGTTTGTAAACACATGCACTTGTTTGCGATTTATATAATAACGTGGGAGTGATTTGGGACGTCATTTGGCAACTTGTGCTGACTGGTTGCTTTTTGCTTTAGGCAAAATTTTAGCAAGGTGGTTTTGGTGTGAATGTTTGAAATAAGTGTTATTTCTTTGTACTTCTTTCTTTAGGTTACAGATAATGCTTCATTGAAGCTTGTCACAGGGCAGAGATACTTTTGCAGCTCAACAGACTCCGGTGAGAAGTTCTACTTTAATAGGATACTACTCTTAGATACCGGTAGTAATTATTGGCCACTGCCGAGATAAAGCTAACATCTGTTTGATGTGCTGAGCTGTAATTGTTTCCCAATGCACAGCTAACCAGATATTTAATCCCTGATAGCTACATGTGTGTATACGAAAATCAAGAGCAGCCTCACAACTAATCTGATAAAATTTGTCCTGACAATTTCGTATGTTGTGGTTTAATTCGTGCCAATCGACATACAGTTTACCCAAAGTAAAGCAATCCAAAGGGAAGCAATACATATAATTGTGATACATTAAATGAATCACAAAAACTAATGAGAGACTTAAGTCATAAGTTCCTGTATTTTCAACCAGAGCTGATAAAAACCGTTATTGGAAATTTTAAGATATCACCTAATAGGTCTACTTCTGCAAATGACTGTTATTACTTTTGACTAGGGAACTCTTGCATTTGAGTTCAGTTATAAATGCACTCTCACTATTATATAACTCATAAATCATTGTGGGCCTCACTGTGGGCCCTGTGCACACTAATGCATTTTTTGAAATGATGCATTTCCGATGAAGCTTTGCCATTTGTAAAACAGTCAAAAGCTTTGTGTCGACACTAGCGTTTTCACCGCGTTTTCCTTGTTAATTGAAAACGTTGATGCGCTTTGCGAACACAAACCACAACTGCCTGTTTCGATGTCCACGCTAAGGCTTTGTGGTGGGACACTTTTTGGGCACCTGTTCAGATATCTCTGCTCTGAACAGCATTTTAAAATGTGTGCGTTTTCTATGAAAATGATGATCGTTTTGGCTAGTTTTAATGCAGCAAAACTGTATTAATAAAGTATGCATTTTCAAGTGAAAATGCATTAGTGTAGATGTGGTCAAAAGAATGGCTTTTGAAGGTAATAGGCCATTTCCTAATTAGCTGTAGGCTCTTTCTCAAAAGGGACTTTAAGATACGCTACGGCGAGGTGCTACTACGGCTACTTTGGCCGTGAGGGACTAGGCTGACAACGGTGTTTTACCCGCCAAACTCAAATGATTAAGATTTTGCTGTACGGCAACGGTATGTGCAGTCTCTACGTGTCTTTACAAAAATGACTACTTTCAAGGAAACCAGGGATCATTCTACTTTCATACGAAATAGGCTTGATTAATGACAATTATTTCCTTCTGCTGTATCCGTCTTACATCTCCCAGAACTTAGATTTGCCTTTCAGAACTTGATAGAACCGCCTGTAATTCCAACCACAAAACAACGTATAAACTCTGATATAAAAAAAGCTCGATTTCAACCTGGACAGGTTGTTCGTACATCGATTACGTGATAAGCCCGAAAATACAAAACTTTCGATTATAATAAAATACATTTTGAACAGTAATAAACAATTATAGCTCAGAATAGGACACACGAAGCTTTCTTATAAACGGCTGTTCGGCCCGATACTAATATGACTGAATTGATCATCTCGCGGTAGGTGCTAAAATCGTTCAAATTTTCTGTTCAGATGACAAAGAAACAATGATCTTAGAACTGATTTTTATGATTGAGAACTTTACCTTCAAACTAGGCGGTTCAAACAGTAAAAAAAGCGTTTAAATGAGAAGTAAACAGCAGGCTTATACTCACGTAGTGAAGAGTACGTGAAACCAAGCACTTTCCCGTAGTAGAAAGCAAGGCTACGGCGGGAAAGCCGTACTTGTACGCGCGTCATGACGTCACCGGAAGTGATCTTCACTAACTGCCGCCGTACTACAGCCTAGCCGTACCATTTCTTAAAGTCCCTAAAGTGAGTTTTGATGCCCCTCTTTTCACTGACATGAAAATGAGATTTCATTCTCATGCAAATTAAACTCATTTTCATATGAGTGGTTGTACACCAGGCCTCATTTTGATAGAGAGGCTCAAGGCAACTCGGAAATGAGCTAATTCACAATAATTTGCATCACTTTTCTTTCCAGAACTAAACAAAAAGAATGCACTACGTGTGGCCTTTAGCCCTGCAGCAAGTTATAGTCCTCTAGCAGTTATGAGCGCAGATGGACCAGATAACGGTGGGAGGCTATGGCATTTGGTAAGGGCTGCTGTGCCATAATAATAGTTTATTTCTAAAATCTAGAGTTAAGCACTTGCACTAATTGACAATTGGATTATGAGCTCGAGATTCTATGAGGTGATAGCTGATGGTTGATGAGACCAGAGGCTAAGTCAACTATCACCTCTTATAGTTCACCACTAAATTTTCTCCGATTCTTATT